GGGCACCATCAGCTTTCTTCACCTCATTTACTTGTGCACCCATTGTCTTCAGCGATCGTGCCAGGAAAGTGAGCATCTCAGACTGCCAAATTGTTAGAACAAAGTGTTCTTGTGTTGAGGGAGTACTTGAGTAGGGGCCCACTGTCCATCTGTTTCCTTAATAATAAACCTATAAACATATGTACATAGATCTATTTCCCCCTTGTCATATATATTTTTACATCTGTATATGCCTGTATTTAGATATCTATAAATGCCCTTTGCCTCCTAATTCTTTCCTCTATTTCTTTGTACTTTCCTCTTGTCCCAGTATCATATTCGGCCTTCATTTGGCCAAACCATGGTATTTTCAATTGCCTCAAATGCATATAAAGGTTGGACATTGGATAAGGACAAATCAATGTGTCTTGGAAGAGGTATAGCCAGAGTGCTCCTTAGAGGCAAGGATGGCGAGACGTTGTTTTACATACTTTGGGCATGTTGTCAGGAAAGACCAGTCCCTGGAGAGAGAAGGAAAGGCTTGGTAAAGTCGAGGGGCAGAGGAGAAGAGAAAGGCCCTCATGGTGATGGGCTGGCACAGTGGCTGCAACAAAGGCTCACGCATTGGAACCCTCGTGAGAAAGGCGTGGGGCTGGGCAGCATTGCCTTCTGCTGTGCATGGGGTTGCGATGGGTCTGAGCTGCCTTGCTGGCACCTAACAACCACACAACAGAAATATCATGAATGGGTAGCTTTACTAATCAAAAGTTTATTTTCTCACAGTCTAAAAACCCACCACCATGGCGGGAGGGATTGTGATTCAGCGTGACTGTGTATCAAGGCTGTAAATCTTTCAAGGAACAGACGGCCTTGTCTTTCTCCCGCTGGAAGACAGACATGGGGTCTCTGGCTCTAGAGGAAGGCTGCCTCTCTTTGTTGGCTCCGGAGGAAGGTCCTCCTCTCTTTGGAGCTTCTGCTCCTCGCGCTTCATGTGGCCTGGGGTCTGTCATGGTTGAATTGTGATTCTCCACAATACGACCCCCACACCACCCCCCAGTATGTCAACCTACTTGGTGATTTTGCAATTATGTAATGAATGATGCAGAGCAGCAGTTGTGTAATGATTGTCCCTTCCACCAGGTATTGCTGTCCTAAGCCAATCAGTTGTAAGAAGACTCTTAATCCTGTCACAGCTTTGACCCCCGTAAGGGGAGTTTTCCTAGGGGTGTGGCCTGCAACACTTGATCTTGTAAGAGAGAAAAGGAGAAAGAAGCCAGCAGAGAGAGAGAGCGAAAGTGCCCTAGAGAGAAGAGCCAGGGCTGGAGTTCAGCCTTTGGACCTGGGTCCTTGCACTGGGATCCTTCTAGATCCTGGGGAAGATTGATGCCAAGATACACAGAGATGGCCAAGGAATGCTGGGCCTACAGATGCCGGAAGGGGACGCGTCGTGAGCTGTGAACCAGCACAGAAGAAAGCCTTTCCTAGAGCTGGCCCCTGGGATTGGGGCCTTTCAGCTCCTCGCTGCGAGAGAATAAATTTGTTGTGAAGAACGCCACCGCTCGTGGCATTTCTCTTAGAGCAGCACTAGACGGCATCTCGCCCCATCACTCCTGCTGGCTTTTGCCATCTCTTTGAGGTCTCTTTTTAACAGATGAATGGAAGTCATAATCTACACTAATGCTATCTCATTCATATCACAAGGACAACCCATTCCCAAGTGAGATTATAAGCACAGGTGGAGGGGTTGAGGTATACAGCACATATTTGGGGGGTATACAACAATCAATGACAGTCACTGCAAGCCTCTGTTTTCTCACACAGCCCATGGGTTGTCTCTCTGGGGATTCACTGCGAGGTGTAAGTAAAGTGTTCAGCCCAGCCTGGTGAGCGATGGGCACTGGGTGAGCATGGGCACTCATTGTTCCGAGGCGAGGGAGCTGCTGAGTGGGTAGAGCAGTGCAGGGAGCCATCTGGCACAAGGTGCGTCTGGCAGCAGGCGGGTGGAGTGGAGACGAGAGGTCAGGTAGGAGGCTACTGTTTCTGTGAGGGTCTGAAGGCGGGCGAGAATCTGGTGGAGCCGCTGGCGCAGGGCAGACCATCACAGAAGCAGCACAAAGCAGGGCTGAGCTGAACTGGGGGAAGAAGCCGGAAGGATTGCCGAGAAAGCCGGTTGCAGAGAAAAGGCTTGTTGGGAGGGGGGCCGAGGGTTACAAGGAGAGGCGCGTGCTGCGGGTAAGGAGCCTGTGGGGGTGCAGGAGGAGATGGCATCTGACAACAGGTCCAGGTGAGTGAAAAGCAAGATGGCTCTGTCTCCTGCCATGGTTCCCAAACATGGCCCCTTGGCTCCTTAACGCAGTGGTTCTCAACCTTCCTAAGGCCGCCACCCTTTCATGCAGTTCCTCATGTGGTGGTGACCCCCACCATAAAATTCTTTCCGTTGCCACTTCATCACTGTAATTTCGCTACTGTTATGAATCGAGCGACCCCTGTGCAAGGGTCATTCGACCTCCAAAGGGGTCTCAACCCACAGGTTGACAACTGCTGCCTTAAAGAATGAGATAGAAGATTCTCTCCAGAGAAACATAGTCACCCTTAGAGATGTCCAGGCATTTTAGAGTGTTCTCAAACCTCAGATCCAGAGCTCTCACTAGCTCCTTAAGGAGAGCCTGTCCTTACCTTCCCTGGTGGGAAGCAGAAAAGGCCAGCAGTCGTCGCCTCCCACGGGCCTTGAGGAGGGAGCACAGCTAGGAAGTGGGCAGCCTCCACTTTCTGGACCAGAGCAGCCCGTGGACAAAGCAGACTGGCTGCCGGGTGGGCAGGGAGTCAGGGAACAAAGGCAGGTCAGAATCCCATCCTTCACCTGACCCCTTTGTTTGTCTGTTTACCCGCAAGCTGGGTTTGTGACTCCGCCGAGACATTCTGAAATCAGAGCTTTTCAGTCAGGGTCTCTTGAAGCTGGTTTGCAAACCAGGGCTGAGTTGGGGTCTTAGCCCTGCATGGATGGCCCGCCCTAGTCTGGTCGCCAGTGCCATCCATCCCTCTGTGGATGGAAGCTTGCTCTCTGTCCCAGGCCCCACCTGCGCTTGCCTCTGTACTTGTAACAGCTGCGGCGGCAGCAGCAGCAGCACTTGGAAGGTGTGCAGGTATAGCTGAGATGTGTCAGGTGACTCTCTCTAGGCTCCTCTACACCTCTCGCCTTGGCCTGGGGCAGATTGGTGTGGCAGCATACTCAAGGGCAAGAGCTGGAGAGTCTCTGAGGAAACTTCCCCCTGGGGTCTCCACCCATGTTTGGGGGTGTAGCCTGCCAGGAATCCTGCATGAGAGCATCCAGGTTCCTGGAGCAAAGCCATTCTAGCTCCGAATTTCCGTAGAGGACTGACTCCCGCTTCCAAAGCCCATGCCACCAGATGAGGTCCAGAGCCTCCTGTGATCCTTCCCTGGGTGCCGCGGGCCAGCCCATTTGGCCAGAATTGATCTTTTACAGAATTTTCTGGGCAGAGGTGCTGAAAATGTTAACTTGTGCTGAGCCAGATGTTTTTCCTACCCCAGAGAGGAAGGTTCTAGGCCAGAGAAGGATCAGTGCCAGTCGGGACTGGGGCCAGGACTCCTAGAGCAGACAGACTTAGGAAAAGATGAAAGGTTACAGAACGGGCTGACAGCCGCTTGTAATGCTTCCCACCCCCACCCCCACCCCCTCACTCTCCAATTGCCACCATCTTCTCTTTTTCAGGAAACATCTTCACCCAGCAGCCAAGTTACTACAATGACCTGGATGAAACCCTGCCCACCATCCTTCAGGTACTAGCCCTCAGCCGCCCCACCTGACAGGGACGGCCTGCCCTCTCTTTCCTGGAAGAGCTAGGGAGAAAGCTTATTTCCTCACCTCTCTGGACCGGCCACCACACAGTCTCAACTCTCCCCCTCCGAATTTGCCCTCTTCCCCACTTCAATAGGACTGGCAGCTAAAGGCTCGGATGCCAACCCTGAAGCAAAAAAAGGTTTGGCTTGTGTTCCAGGTTGTCTGCCTCTATAGACACATCCCTCAGAGACTTCTCTTTGCTTTTTAAATAATCGCTTCACCGTCCAAACACTGAGGAAATAATGATGTTCAGTGTAGAGCACTTGGAACGTGTAGACAAAGAGAAGGAAGACTAACCCCCCTGGTCCCATCACCCAGAAATAACCCCCGCGGGGCTGGGCTTTGGAAGCACTGCCGCTAGACCTCAGGAGGACAGCAGTATCTACCCACATGGTTTTACTGTGGAGTCTCCTTTATGCTCTTCGTTATTTATCTATAAATGTACGTCCCAGAAATTGGCATCTGTGTAGAACACAGCAGCGTATGCCGTGTTGCTGAGCGTCTATCTCGAATGTTTGCTGCTGTGTGCTTGCCCAGCCTGTCCAGCCAGCTACATCCCGCAGGGCTCTGGGGGCTTGACCAGTCCATCACCATGGTGGCACCCTAGTCCCTGAAGAGGATGCTCCCATCATCCTTATCATGTGCTTTTCTCACTTCACCCCTGCTTCCTGGGACACTACTGTGTCCACCTCGGAACACCTGTCTGTGGTCCCAAGATTCCCAGGCGATTTTCAGCTCACCTGGCCGAGCCGTCCGTGCTGTAGGGACATGGTCCAGGTTATTTTGGCAGGTTATCAGAACTCCCCGCCCGCACCCCACAGGTCTTCAGCAATATCCTCCAGCACTGTGGCTTGCAAGGGGATGGGGCTTGCGCCACACCTCAGAAGCTGGAGGAGAGGGGCCGGCTGACCCCCAGCGACATGCCTCTGCAGGTGAGCTTGCCCTGATGGCCACGCCCTTTGCTGGCAGGGACCCGGTCAGCCAGAGCGGGGCTCCCTCGTGACTGGGAAGAGTGACATGCCAAAGACCCCATCTCACGCGTCCAGTAGCTGCTTCTGCTCAGGGCCACGTCCCCCAAGTCGGAGACTATCACACAGTGCTCTCAACAGGCCGCCTTCCTCTCGGAGTTCTCTCTGGGGTGGTGGGAGGAGCAGAGACGCGCCTTTCAGAGGACGGGCTCTGGTTCAACAGATAGGGGGACGCGTCATTCATGGGGTCAGTCAGTCAGTGAATTCCAACTGAAGCGTCCTCAGTGTGCCGGGCCCTGTGGGAGGCGGGTACAGCCCTGCTGCCAGGGATCTGAGTCTAATGAGGGTGACAGGTGGAAGCTCCGCCATGTCCGGGGGCTCCCAGTCTGTAGGGAAAACAGCCAGTGCACGGTGACCCAGAAGGGGCCATACCACGTGCCGTGGGAGCGAGTCCTGTCACCCTCTGAACCTCCGTTTCCTCGTCTGTAACATGGAGATGCTAGGGCTGCCCAGCTACCTTTCAGAACAGAGCTCTGCGAATTACATATACAGCCAATGCCTCTGCCCGCTTCAAGCGGTAAGAAAGCGAGGCTTGCTCTTCTTGTCCTCTCCAGGCTGTTCTTGGTCTGTGTGGGGCACCAGGCATTTTATTTCTCCCTTGGCCCAGAAGAGAGCCTCGTATTCTCTCAGAGCGACAGGTCACCCTAGAGCTCGAGGTCAACTGGAGCTGCTGACGCAAGAGCTGAGGGTTAGAGAGGCTCAACGAGGGACTTGCTTGGATACGAACCAGCTAGGCTTCGGTCAGACCTGTCACCTGGTCCAGTGCTCTCTGTGCCCCCTGTGTGGCGTCCTGGCACAGGCCCTGCCATCCTGTCCCTTTTTCCTCAGACCCTCCACAGAGCTGACCGGGCGAGCGTGGGCCGTCATGCTGGGTTCCCTCTCTTTTGCCCCAGGAGCTGAAGGACATCGTCCTCTACCTTTGTGACACCTGCACCACACTCTGGGCCTTCCTGGACACCTTCCCTGTGGCCGGTCAGACCTTCCAGAAGCATGACTTCTGTTACAGGTACAGCGGCCAGCTTGGCTGTGGAAACAGAGGTCTGGTTCGTGGACTCATTCCGCAGAGCTTTGCTGGGTGTTGCTGCCGGGCCGGGCTCTCTCTCCGGCGTCAGGATGCGGCCGTGGAAAAGACAGCTCAGGCGCCTGTGCACATGGATCCCGAGTTAGAAGCACGTGCACTTTGGGCTAAGACCTGGGGTGGGGAGAAACAGACCACCAGGAATACGGAGGTTTCATGTCAATCTCAGTGTCCATCAAGACCCCTGGTGTGGGTGGGCCTGAAGGAGTGAGCGGTCATGTCCCTGCGGGCTTGGCTTTTGGTCCAGGGGAGAAGACATGTAAGGAACCGAGCCATGGCCAGGTTCTGAAGCAAACTGCTGACTCTTGAAATAAGCCAAGGGTTCATGGCATAAACAACCATTAAACGAGGTCCGGAAGAATAAGCAAGGACCCTCTGGTGGGCGCACTGGCCGGAAGGCTACCCGGGCCAGTGGAGTGAAACATGCAGGGCCCAGGTGTGCAGGGGAGAGCCAAGTCGGGGAATTGTGTGCAGCATAGGGGCAGGGGAGCGAGGAATGGGGAGGTGGTCAGAAGAAGCCAGGCTGTGAGAGCCTTGGAATGTGCAGGCAGGGAGTAAGGCCTTTATTCTACAGGAGGAGGGGAGCCACATTAGGCTCTTAACCCAACAGAACCGTTGGCAGGTCCCCACCCCCAATCCATGGAGAAAGAAGGTGAAGAGAAGGTGGGCGGGGCCAGGGAGATCCCTTTCACCCACTTAGCTCATGAGAGTAAAAAACGTGTGTGTTTAGAGGGGGAGTCGGTGGTGGTTGAATGTGGGTGGGGGTATGGGTGTTTCTGGGCCAGTGAGTAGAGGCATGCTGAAGTTTCCCAACTCCATTCAGCCAGTTGAGTGTCCACTGGGTCACTTATTTGCCTATTCAACAAAATATCTATCATGTCAGCACGTGCCAGGATGGCACCTTGCCACCCTGGTCTCAGCTCGTCAGGTCCAGAGGTTAGGCTCGACAGCCGGCCCAGAGGCGATTAGAGGAAAGGGCCAGTCAGTGTTTCCCAGGAAGCAAGGAGGTGGGCTGGGGTTGTAGCTGCCTACTTTGTCTAAAAGATGTGTATTCTGATAAGGAAAGTGACACTTCTTTGTAGTCATTTAGAATATACAGAATGGTATTTCATAAACCAACAGCGTCCCCCGCCCCCCGCAACCTGTGTTTTCCTGCTCTGACAGGTTTCCACCTTGCACAGGTCCCCTGTATGCAGTGTTACTATCAGTTGAGATCCTGTCCTCCTGATAATTGCGTGTCCTACTTATTTCCACTGATCACAGGCCGCCCCCGTTTTGTTAACGCTTCTTCCCCAGTGTGGGCGATGCTGGTGGGTAAGGGGCAGGGCGGAGGGCCAGGAGGAAGACAGGACAAGCCCAGGGCTGGTCCAACCTGGCCACGCTGGACTCATGGCCTGCCGGGAACTGCCCGCTCAGCCAATGACACCACATCTGTTCTGACAGCTCTCCAGTGAATCCATGCTGGCACTCTTCCTCCTCACACCCTCTCTCTGCCTTCCCACCTCTGCTTCTGGTCTCCCCACAGCCATTGCCAGCCTGGGGAATTTTCTGGAAGTATTTCATATGTGTACAAACAAAGGTGCATGTTATATATACCCCCCACTGCTCCCCTTTTTCAGTTTAATTCTGGCATATTGAATATATTAAGTGTAATGTTTGCACTTTCTGGTTTTCTTAGTGGAGGCTAGAGTCCCATTGCAAGAGGTGCCAGACCCCTAGCTCAGCGGTTCTCAACCTGTGACCCCTTTGGGGGTTGAACAAACCTTTCACAGGGGTCACCCGGTTCATAACAGTAGCAAAATGACAAGTTATGAAGTAGCAATGAAAATAATGTTATGGTTGGGGTCACCACCACATGAGGAACTGTACTAAAGGGTGGCGGCCTTAGGAAGGTTGGGAACCACTGCCCTAGATGGACCCTCGGGTCATTTTCCACTATTACAGCAGTGTTGCGGGGATGAACTGTGCGCACCTTCGCAAGCGTGGCTGAGGAGTGAATTCCTAGAAGCAGGGTTGCAGTGGCAGCGACAGATGGCATGTGCTTTTAGCTTGTGATCTATCTTGCCAAATCACCCTCCATTGGTGTTGTACCAGTCTACCCTGCCACCACCAACGCATCCTGCCGTCACCTGAGTCTGTTTGGGCCAAACTGCCTTCCCTGCCCTTGTCTGGTACCATCTGTGGGCCTAGCAGGGCCTGCCCCTTTGGCCTAGTTTCCTTTTCCCCAGTAGGGCACTACCCTAGGATAGAAGTTGCCAGAAGGCAGCCAGTCAGCAGACCGCACTTGTTATGGCAGCACTGTCCTAGGCAGTTCTCGCCGTAGGATGCTTCAGATGTCCCGAGGAAGAATTATACCACAGGGAAGAGGGAGCTGCCGCTTCAGTCATTCATTCATAATTGTGTTTATGGCAAAATACATGTAAAGTAAATTGGCCCCTTTATTTTGTGTTTTGTTGTTTTTATAAATCGTTTTATTGGGGGCTCTTCTAGCTGTTTTAACAATTCACACATCAATTGTATTAAGCACATTTGTACATTGTGGGCGGAGACCAGCTCACAAACATCCTCCCTGTTGCCAGACCGCTGTCTCCCCACACCATAGGGGACATAGTGTCTCCCCACTCCCTGCTGCTGGGGCAATGGACAGGCTCCAGTGGGAGTTCACATCCTACTAATGGTCTCTATCAGTTGAGCCAGGAACAAGTCAAACAGACTCTGTGACATCCAAAGTTAGGCTGCCATCCTGTATCTAGGATCTGTCCATCTTGTCACATGTATACCCCAATCCCTCCTCTTCCTATTGCGTGTATGTCCATAGACCACCCCCTCATTGCTGTATAACCTATAGTGCAACCCCTTCCTGTGACGTATGTCTTTACCTGTAATTAGTGGGCTCGCACCCCCCAAAAGTGATATAGGCCTGGGCTAGCAATAGAGAGCTCTCTCTGGCTGGTCGCTCCCCTCTCTTCCCCCTCTCCTCTCCCATCCTCTCTCCCTTGTTCCCTTTCCGGTCCTCCTTCCCTTCCCCCTGTCTCCACGTGGACCACCAAGCGGGGCTGAGGTGTCTGACTCCATTTATTCCAGTCTCTCCTCTAGCTCTCATGGTCTCTATGACTTTACTATAATCTTTATTTATTATCGCTGTACAGTTGAGCCTATCGGACCTGTGATGATTTGTGGGGGTCCCTCTCCCTTATCCCCACAGTACATATATTGCTGTCGTCATTGTCAAAACATTTTTTTCTACTTGAGCCCTTGGTATCAGCTCCTCTTTGTTCCCTCCCTCAAATTGGCCACTTTAATGACATCAGTGCCATTACTGCTATTCCCCATGTCAGACAAGCGCCACCGCTTGGTTTCCAGAACATTCTCATCTCCCCACATGCTAGCCCTTAAGCAGTAACTCCCTTCTCTCCTCCCGCAGGCCCCAGTAACCATAAATCTAGTTTCTGTCTATGAGTGGCCAACTCTAGGTAGTCCATGTAAGTGGAATCCCCTCACACTTCACGCTGGCTTGTTGCGTAGTGTTTTCCGGGATCTCTGTGGTGTGGCATGGATCAGGAATAGCCCGTTGTATGGATCCCACCGTGTGCTTACCCATTCCTCTGTGGATGGACAGTGGGGTAGTTTCAGTGAACGTTGGTGGTCAAGTATCTCTGGGTAGGTACCGAAGAGCCGTATTGCCGTGTCACGCAGGAACACGCTGTGAGCATTTGGAGGAACCACCCGGCTGTCCCCGTGGTGAGGTTCCATCAAGTCTGTTCCCACTCATAGCGACCCCTTGTACAACAGCCCGGAATACCCGTACGAATGGGCCCGATACAGTTGACGTTATGAGAGCTGGAAGAGCCCCCGCTAAAATGATTTATTTGAAAAAGAAAGAAATTGTAAGGACAACACATTAGAAGTGCTGGCACCTATTGCCAGGCAGGAATCCCCCCAGGGTCAGTGGGCCCAGGACATACCAGGGAGGAGGGGCCTGGCAAGAACAAGGGATAGCTGTGGCGGATGGATGTTAGCCTAGGAGATGCCAGGAGGGCTGTGGGACCCATGTGATTGGCATGTGACTTTGGGAAGGGGTGGGATTGGAGTCTCAGGTGAGAAGCAACAAGTGGGTGCCCTGTGCCAGATCTGGTTGTGCCAGAGGAGGAGCTCTAGCCTGCTTAGAAGAGAGAGGGGAGGGAGCAAAGGACAAGAGTGACCTTGTGTCCATTTCTGAAACGGCAGTGTCTCTTGGCGCCCCATTGTCGATCTGTTCGCATGAACCGCTCTGGGCTGAGGACAAATCACAACTCCAGGTTACCTCCCCTGGGACTGCTTCTGAGAGCCAGCCAGAGCCAGAAAATTGTTGTGGAGCAAAACCTTGGCCTTCCCACTTGCTCACATTGTTCTGATTTTCTCTTGAAGTGTGGCATTTCAGAACGAACCCCAGCCTCTTACCTGTGTACCTCCATAGACTCGCCTCCTTTTATGAAACGGCGGTTCCGGAGCTGGAGTCCGCAATTAAGAAGAGGAGGCTTGAAGACCACAAGTAAGGCGGGTCCGAGCTCATCTCGAGTCCTGTGGAAGCCTGGCCTGCCCCAGTGCCGCGGCAGGCCTGGTGCCACCTCCCTCCAGTCTCCGGGCCCCTGCACCAGACCCTCCCCGCAGCGGCCATGGCTCACTGGGTTCCCAAGGACTGTTGGAGATGAGAAGTGGCTCTAGCGCTAGCTGGCCCCTGGCTGCAGCTGCTCTCCGCAGCGAGGCCTTCTCAGCCCCTCCAAGGCCTGGCAGGTGCCTGGGTGGCTCCCAAGTCCCGTTCTTGTTTCTCCCTGAAAGGCTGCTCGGGGACCTATGGCAGAGGCTCTGCCATTCACGGAAGAAGCTGCTAGAGATGTTTCACATCCTCATAAACCAGGTCTGCCTCCTCCCCATCCTGGAACGCAGGTAAGCCCCGGGGAGAAGACCGTCTTCCCACGCCCTCTCCCCTTCTGTGGGGCGGGCTGAGCAGAGACCAGAGAGGAACAGAATGCTTTCACGGGGAAGGCAGGCTTGGGGAGCCGTGTGAATTGCCTTGCACTGAGGAATCTACACACACACATCCTGGGTCCTGTTCCAGCAGTGACAACGTTCAGGGCTTCATCGAGGAATTCCTGCAGATCTTCAGCTCCTTGCTGCAGGAGAAGAGGTGAGTGTGGCCAGGCTGGGCCTCAGCAATGGGACAGCCTGTGACCCTGCCCACCAGTCCCCACAGGCTCTGACGTCATTGAGTCCCTACCGTATGCCCACAGGGTTGTCAGGTGGGTTCCTGCCAATGTCTGGGATCTGTGGCCCAACCTTGACTGATTTCCTGTCTGCACTCTCCCCACAGGTTCCTGCGGGACTATGACACGCTCTTCCCGGTGGCCGATGATGTCAGCCTCCTGCAGCAGGCCTCGTCAGTCTTGTATCCTTCAGCCACTGCCTCTGAAAAGGGGTCTGGCCTGTCCAGGTCCCAGAGGAGCACGGGGAAGGGGAGCCCAAGAACACACATGTCCCCCAGCTTTCTTGGTAGACATGCCACGGCCCCAGCCCACTGCCTGATTCTCATGGCGAGGAGCATTGCTATAGGTGCCTGGACTGGCCTGACACCACCATGGAGGCCCAGTGGTCGGTGAGGAGGCTGTGGCTGCTGGGGCAAGGACTGGAAGCAGAGTGAGGGCTTCTAATGCGATCCCCTGCCTCTAGCTTAGTGCTTCCCCTTGTGGTAGAGGGGAGGGAGGGTTAAGAGCAAGCTGTGGGTTGTCTCAGTGCCTGGGATGGGCTGCTCGGTCCTGCCTCAGGGAAACCCTACACACCCTCACCCCCACGCGCGCCTTTGCATAAAACCCATAGCAGCTCAGACAGGAGGCTTATCTGAACACCGTGTCTCAGGGTTCAGCCCGGGCCTAGTAGCAGGAGATGGGTAGCAAGGCCAGCGTGGCTGTGAGCTGGCCCCTTCTGTCATGCAGCCCAGGGACCCTGATGCCCACTGAGTACAGCCAGTAGCCCTTGGTCGGGGCAGAAGCTGGGGGCCCAGAGCGAGCAGTTCCACTTCCTCTGAGCTGGGGAGGCGGAGATGGTTGTGGGACCCAAGGGAGAGAGCCCTTAACCCTTAACATCCTCCTAGCGATGAGACGCGCACCGCCTACATCCTGCAGGCAGTGGAGAGTGCATGGGAAGGGATGGACAGACAGAAAACCACAGAAGCCACAGACCTTCTGGTGGCCCAGGATCTTAATCGGGTGGCAGCAGTGGCGGGGCCAGTTGCTCAAACACCATCACACCCAGAGAACTCAGAGGAAGAGGAGGTGTGTATCTGGGGCAGTGCTGCCACCCGCTGCCCTGCCCTCTGGGCCCCATCTGAGATGGTGGGCGGCTGGGAAGCCACCCTTGCTTTCTGTACCGCAGGAGGGAGAGGCAGGGTAACTTTGGGACTTGACATCCTGAGCTGCCAGTCAACTCTATTGCACTGGGTCCACTTTCGGTGAATCTTGCGTGTGGGCTCTTTGCGAGCTGCCTCTAGACAGGTGGCAGCTGGGCAGCTGTGGTTGCAATGGGGAACAGTTTGTGCCTGCTGCTTGGCCTCCCAGGCAGCCCCTCCATGGAATGGCAGGGCTCCACTGCCTGCTCAAAACCCAACCCTCCAAACCCCTGCCATCAAGGCTATTCCGACTGACAGGGACCCGTTACTGGGCCCTTCCAGAGCAGACAGCCTCTCCTTTCTTCTGCGGAACGGCGGGTCTGTTTGAATGACCAGCCTCCTCTAACAGCATCTCCGGAGCTTCTTTCTGAAACTATAAACCCGAGCCCCAGCCCACTGCCGTGGAGTTGGTGCTGACCTATAGTGACCCTAAGTGGAAAGCCACATCACATCTTTCTCCCACGGAGTATCTGGGGATGCAAACAGCTTCCTTTGCCGCGAGCAGCCCAGCATGGAGCTACTATGCCACCAGGCCCGTTTCCTAGCAAATCAAGCCCCACTGAACACTGTATAAATTTATCACCTGCTGAAGAGGACACGAGGCCAAGGGGAGCCTCTGCTCTCGGTCCCGGTGCTGTGTTGCTGCATATCTTCCCCCCCTGCCCCATCAATCCTGAACGTGTGTGGTCTGGAATTGAACCTTCATGGTCAGCAGGAACCGTGGCTGGTCACCAGCACCTGGTCACCGCTGCCACGGGCGTCGCCCTCCGTGCGCAGCACCTCTTTGAGGCAAGGTGGCCAAGGTGAGAGGGGGCCTGGTCTGCCAGTTCTCATACAGGAAGCAACTTGTTCAAACTCACCCAACCAGAAGTAGCCCAGAGGTAAATCTTAAGCTCCCCTTTCACAAAGAAGCAGCCCTCTAGCCAGGAGGGGAAAGGCTCAAGTCAAGCCCCATGCTGTTTCCTGTCTGCCTTTTACCCAGTCACCCCTGCCGACCCAATATGATGTACTCTTCCTGCAGTTGATCGGGGCAGCCGCTGCCCTGGCCCCACCGGTGTCTGGTGTGGAACTCGACTCGCTCATCTCCCAAGTGAAAGACCTGCTGCCAGACCTTGGCGATGGCTTCATCCTGGCCTGCCTGACGCACTACAGCTATGACCCAGAGCAGGTGATCAACAACATCCTGGAGCAGCGACTGGCCCCGGCCCTCAGCCAGCTGGACCACAGCCTAGACAGGTGGGACACAGGTGGGAGGAAATCCCTCCTCAGCTCCTTTTTTTAAAACAAATGATTATTAATTGGGATTTAATACATGCATATATCATTCCACAGTTCAGTCATGTCAAGCAGAATCGTACAATTACTACCACAATTAATTTCTAAACATTATTTTTCTACATGGGTTCCTTGACATGGTCTCCCTTTTACCACCATCCCCCACTGTATCCCCCAAAACCCTTGTTCTACTTGCTGTCTTTGTAGGTTCACCAATCTTAGGTTTCATATACCGAAAAATGGAAAAACATATCACACAACGTCAAGAGGTGTTCTCCAGTGACATAACACCTCTGAGATCCACCCCAGTGTGCACATACAGAAACCAAACCAAAAACGCAGAAAATCTCTGAAACCAGATCAGGTCTACCCCAGGAGGGGGTCTACTGACAAAGGTTTAGCTGCTCAGATCCGATTTCTGCCTTTGATCTTCTATACTCCTCTCTCCCAAGCATTCTGTTTAGTGACCATTTTCCTCCCATCCCTCAATTTTAGATAGGGGGAGTTCTCCGGAGGTTCATTTCCTATGTAGTTCCTCAAATGAATCTTGGGTTCCCGCTTTCATCCATCGCCTTCTGCACACCGGGTTTTCACACTGTAGGCTCTGATGCGGATCCCTCCTTCGGCTTCAGATTATATGCCTCCCAGTGCTTCAGTGACTGATGATGGGTGCTTATTCCATGTGGACTTGGTTGACACCTCACAGAGATGGTTGCTTGTTTGGAGACAAGCCTGTAAAACCCCAGATGTTATTTTGTCTGACAGCTGGTTACCATCTTAATTCTTCGCCATTCTAAATTTTTGCTATAGCACCTGTATCTTCTGTGTTCCCTTCCTGAAGGCCAGTATCAAGCAGGGCCATGGTAGAAGAACTAATTGTTCTTAAGTTGGATCAGCTCCTTAACTTGTGCTCAGATCATTGATGTCCAGGGATTCCACTTGCTTTCCCCTCCCCACTCGGTGTTCCCAGCTGGCTAACAAGCTCTCGGGGTTCTCACAGTCCCCTGCAGAGCAGAGTGTGTGCATGGTGGGCATCCTGTGGGAAGACCCATTAAAGAAACCTGGCACATGACAGGGGCTGCCGAGTGCCTTCCAGCTCCCAAGTTCTGGGCTGGCCCCTGTCGTGGCTCCTTTCCCATAGATCCCACGGGAGGCGGGCCAGGCTGCTCCCTGCCTTCACCTGACCCCTTCTGCTTCCTGGGACACCTGTGGGCAGCAGGAATGAGGGAGGGAGGGAGTTTCTTCCATGAACAAGTTATTGGACAAGCTTCTGGTCGCTCTCTGCCCCGTTTTGCAGCAGCCAGTAAAGTTTGAAGGGATTGTGTGGCCTCTAGGGACCAATCTCATAGGACGGGGTTGCTGAGTGGTGGCTGCAGGGTCTGCTGCCTCCTGAAGGCCATTGAGATGATATCCCCGATGTGGCTGTAGGAAAGGGGTGAAGGATCGCATAACAACCAGTGGCTGCGGGGAATGACGTACAGGTGGGGATCAGTTGGCCTGAGCCCCTTAAGCTGATTTCCTTGCTGCCCCCAGGCATGCGGAGCCAGACCCAACACCCCTGTTGACATCTCGCCACAACATCTTCCAGAATGACGAGTTTGATGTGTTCAGCAGGGACTCCGTAGACCTGAGCCGTGTGCACAAGGGCAGGAGGTGAGTGCAGGGCCGCGGGGTCGCGGGGACCCTGCTCCAGAGTGCAAGCTGGGCTTCCAGCAGGCGATGCTGATGGCTCTTCGGGTGCTGGGAGGGGCTGCTTAGTGACTCCTTGCTTGTTGATGGCAAAAGGCCACAGGAGCCAAAACGGTCCCCTCACCCCTTGTCTGAAGTCATTTGACTCCCGACCATGGAGTCACTGCATGGTTCGGCTTCACCGGTCGGCGGCAGAGAGAGATGCCTCAGGCTCATTCAGGAGGTGGAGATGCCACCGAAGGCTCCCTACTTGTTTGTGCTCTGTGCCCTTCCTGCTTTTTTGGCATTGAAATGATTTATTCATTCGTTCAGCAAATATTTGCCCAGTGATTGCAACATTGAGCCTGGATTAGATGCTGGCGGGGGGCGGGGGGCCGAGGGGTGAGGGGGTGAGGGAAGTCACCAAACAGACATGACCCCTGCCCACATGGGACCGGCACTAATCAACTCCTCAAACACCGCCGGGTGGAGTGGGGCGGGCTTCAGATCCTGGGTCAGGCTTCAGCCAGGCAGGCGGCCATAAGGAAGATGCTGGCCTGAGGGCCGAGGAGGCCTATCACAGCAGAGGCAGCAGCGGCAGGGCCATGGCTGGGAGGGAGCGGGGTGCGGGTCCACAAACTTGCACTATTTGTGCAGTGTTCACCGCCTCTGGAGTGGGGAGCCGCCTGCAGGGCCGTGGGGATAGAGTGCAGTGCCATGCCGGCCGACAGGGAAGTAACGTGGTGAACAGGAGGTTTTTCCGAGAGTGTAAGTTCATGGAACCCCTCGGCAAGCGCAGCTTGCCCTTGACCTGTGGAGCATGGAGGCTGCCCCCCGGTTCTTGTGGTTGGATGCCCAGGAGCAGGGGCGCAGGCTGCTGATTACTGGAGACCCTGAGCTGCCCCTCCTCCTCAGGGCCCTCCAGTGCAGGATGTGTGGCTGGCGGAGGGCTTGGGGAGCAGGCCCACAGTGACTGTGAAAGCCATCTGGCTGGCTGGACGGGAAGCAGCCACAAACTGCTCAGTCACGTACATTGCGACATCTCAGCTCCCAGCCCCAAGATATTATCTTGCCTCAGAGGCTGCTGTTCCACACAGCGTGACCCCTGGGTGGCCCCTGCTCTACGTGGGGCAGATAGCACCCAGCTGGTAGAAGGCGGGTGCCTAGCTGGGCTGCCAGGTCCACTGAGTTCAGGCATCCCTGGCAATGGCCTTTTCCCTTGACCTCGGTCTGTGGGTTTGCCCTTCACTCTACCCAGTGGCAGGTCACCCAAGAGCATCTGGCCTCGCTGTCAGCAGCAGGGCTGACAGTGGCCCACTCATGGGCTGTCCCAGGCTGCCAGACTGAGACCAGGTGACAGTGTTCACTGAACTTGCTCCGCTGGGTGACCTGGGCGGGTAGGGCTTGGGAAGTGCCAAAGCCTTCATTCTTAGGTTCATTGTTTATTCCTTCATTAGTTTATTAGAGCCGGTCCTGTGCTAGACACCAGGGAGACAAGCATACGGGGGCACCCAGACCTCACCCCCAAATGGCCGTAGAGCATTAGACACACAGGGTGGAAACATTGAACAAAGGAGGTGGCCGTGGATGCCCAAAGACCATCTCCAAAGCCACTGCGTCCAGAGTTTACTGAAGTCCTGACCTCCCCCTGACCTTTCCCACCCCGGCTGATTTTGTTCCTTCCTGTCTCCCCATGAGCTCATGGTGACAAAGCTGTACCTTGCTGCACAGCCTGCCTGGGGCCCCGAGCTCCATGTCCCCACCCGTGCCCTTTGCTGGGGGAAGTGGACTGAGCCAGACTTCTCTGTCATCTGGCCAGGGGGCTAGGAGTTCAGAAGCCACGTAGTCAGAACCGTCTTGCTGTCCGTAATGGAGTGGACCAGGGGCTGTGGGTGCAGCAGAAAGGGTGCACTCCTCGTTCGTCTGTGGCCCTCTGGTCCAGCACAGATGCCAGCGCCTAGGTGATCCCCAAGCCAGGGTCAGTTCAGTGAGCAGACCCCCGGGAAGTACGTTTATGAGCAGACCCCCGCCACCCCAGGACAAGTGTCCTCCTGAGGTCTCCAACTACCCGGACAAGCTCTTCAGCCCCAAGCGTGGGAAAGAGAGAGCCCCGGTCCTTTCAGAGGCCAGTCACAGTCAGTGACGTGGAAGATTCCTGTGGACCAGCATTTCCCCTGGCTCAAAGCAACCCTTCTCCCATCCACTGGGGAACCTTCCATTACCCTTCCCCAGGCCCCCAGCCAACTCCTTCCACAAATCCCCATCCTCTAGGCTTGCACGGCTCAGTTCACACACTTCCTGCTTCCTGGCCCCCAAACCGGCCGCCCTCCTCCACTGGGAGTGCCAAGAGGGCCGACTCATGCGGCTGCTGTTCTGACTCAGCCCTGCCACCCTGTGCCCAGGAGCCCTTGGTAAGGGAGCCCAAGCCCCAGAGGCTGCCATGCAGGCTATAGTCAGTCCTGTCTGACCCCAGCCCTGCCAGCCCAAAGCCAGCTCACAGAAGACTGGAGGCTGCCACCCAGGGCTGTGTGGGCTTTGTGGGCCCACATTCCGGAGACCTGATGTCACCACTGGGCTGGGTTTTCTTGCCTGGCATCTCAGTGATTTCCCCTGCAGGCCAGAGGCTGCATTCCACAGGACGCATTGCCAAACCTGCAACTTCTAGAAAAGAGACCTCAGTCCCCGGGACAGTTGGGCCACATATACTCCCTGTGACCCCGGTGTGCCCGCCCTCCCCTGTGGCTGTGGTGGGCCAGCATTTTCCTTTGGGGACTCTTACCCAGACACTCCCAAGTATAAGACAGACCAAAGGCTTCTGTGGTGAGGAAGAGCCCAGGGCCCCTTGCCCTGGAGTTCATTTGGAGCTGTTCAGACCACCTCAGGCCCCGCCTTGAAGTAGCAGCGGCCAGCCTCGGTGCGGCGTGTGTTTTCACACGCATTGCGTGCTCACCTGTCCCACTGTGGTGGCTGCTGTGATGCTGACAGCTGTGCCACCAGTCTTTCAAATACCAGCAGGGTCACCCACAGCGAACAGGCTTCAGCGGGCTGCCAGACACGCAGGAGAAAGGTGTGGGCTCTGCGCAGAGGGGAGCAGCGGACAGCTGCTGCTGCACCAAGTGGGTGTGGAGGCAGGGACGGTACCCGGAGCCCATCGATGAGGGTGCCACAGTGACTCCAGGGTCCAGGGTGGCAGTCACGGGCAGGCCAGCATTGTTGTGTCCCTCCCCCCGCCCCCCAAAATGATGGTGTCACTCATCACCCAGGACAGTGACACAGTGTCTCACACATCCCCACGCCCACTGCCTGTCGCCTACCATCCAGGATGCAAGTGCCCACCTCTGGACAGAGAAGGGTCTCTGTTGTGTCCAGTGGGAAGCCGGGGAGCTTTTGGGCCGGGCCTCGGCATCATAGGAGGCGGTGGGGAGCGGAGGCAAGTGCTGAGTGGCCATGCCCACCCCACATGTGTGTGTCACCGTGAGTTCAGGCATGGCTGACACCAACGCGAGTGACACTGTCTGCCACAGTGTTGGAAGATGAGCCCCCTAAGTTGGAAGGCACTCAAAATGTTGTTGAACCCCAAGGAGTCCAGGAGAGCCTGTCACCACCGCCCCAAACAGAGACCAGGTTGATTCAAGAAATTTTGAGCTGAGTCCCGTGTTCCTGTAGAAGGAAAATAGCCAGGGTTTCCCTCTGAGCTGCTCCAGAGTTCAGTCCTGGCCCTGCGAGTCAATAAATGAGAGACAAGGCTCTTAACTGTTCGCAATGATTAAAAGAAGAGATGAGCAGGTGGTTTTGTTTTAATCAGTTTATTGGGGGCTCGTACAACTCTTATCACAATCCATCCATCCATCCATTGTGTCAAGCACATTTGTACATTTGTTGGCAACATCATTCTCAAAACATTTGCTTTCAGCTTGAGCCCTTGGTATCAGTTCCTCATTTTCCCCTCTCCCTCCCTTGATAATTTATAAATTATTTTGTCATATCT